TATATATATATATATATATATCTACACATCTAAAACAAAAGCTTAACATGCATTTTGGGAAGTCACTCTCACAGCTGCTTAATGCCTCCATGTAACACAGTGGCATTAAGCTAAAACTGCTGGAATTCCTCTAGAACAAAGCATTTTTGCTCCTAAAAATTTTCATACCAAGTTAGGAATGAGTGCGCCTGTAATATCTGTCGGCATCAATTAGAGTTGTTATAGGCAGTAACTTTTTGAATACCTTAAAAATGGATTTTTGCCAGCAGATTTTCAAACATTTCTTAAAGCATGCTTTTTGGTGCCACTTGTTCTTGTATGTATATCGTATCAGCCTAGGAGCAGATGTTCGATCTAATCGGTGTGTTAGGATGGTGCAACTGTGTAACTGTTTAAGTGGCAAATACGGCGTCGGATTTGGTAAGGTACTTATTTTGGTATGGCATTTTTTGCTGCATCAAGACTTCGCTGAAAATCAGCATACTGAAAATCCTTCCTAGTCAGCTGAAGTAATGGGATGGTTCACTGAACTGTTATGTTATTCTAGCCGCTTAAAATAGATTTCTAGTATGTTGATTTTCAGACGTATACGAAGAATATTGCTTCTGTGTTACATTGTGTTACAGGCAGCCTAAAAGGTTAGATTATACGAGAAGATATGTATCTGGTAAAAAAAAAATCGCTTCCTGTTTGATTACCATTGATTTTCGATGAGGAATTTGAAGCTTTTTTTTTTGTAATGTTTCTGTTGCTGATTGACTCAGGCACTTTCATCTCAGAATTATTTGAGTATTCTTTTGCTTCCTCTCTGGCAGCTATACTTTTTTTTTTTCCTGCAGAAGTTTACTGTGTGTCTAATTCTGGCTGTTAAGAGTGTGCTTTCTAATATGACTTTCATGAACGAAATTAGTCCAGAATCATTTTCTTCACTTATTTTTAACTAAAGTTTCTCTTTATTTTTTTATAACAAAGAAATTGGCAGGTGGCAGCAAAATTTTTTTTGCTATTTTCTGTTAAATTTTTTTACTTTTTTGCAAAAAAGAAAAATTTTTATGTAATGTGTTTCAGGCTTTTAATAGAATTCTGCTTGGTTGCAATCTAAGATATGCTGCAAGAAGCTTTTTCTGTTTTTATAATGAACTGTTTTACAGTTGCTTTTCAGAGTTCCTGCTTTTCCACTGTATAAGCTATCCGTTTGAGTTTTTTTACCAGATTTGTTGTTTTAAATATTTGGAGCCTTATCAGATTGTCAGTAGATGCATGAGGCTATTTCCTGATGGTTAAGATTTCATTGTCTAATTTTTAACTTGAACAAGAGCAAACAACTAATAGAACTTGCGTCCAATGCTCATCAGATAAATGCAGTATTTATTTGTTTTTTTGCGTATTGTACGGCATGCATAAGTACTTTTGTGGCCATGTGTTCTTTGTAACTCCTGTTATTGATATTTACACTGGCGTCTACCAATGAAGTTTCCACTTTTTGTCTTCATGTTAGGCAACATAAAAAGGAATTTGTTGTTTAATTAGCTGTTTTTTTAACCAGTTGGCATTAATTTCGTATTTTGATGTTGACTACTCATTCCCTCTTGTTCTCTTGATGTCATGACACGTGAGATTGTCCTTAACATTTGGAATCTTGTTTACGAATTATTAGTTGCACTTCAAAATGTAACACGTGACTGAAGGTCGTTGTAAGCTTTTTCTTTAGTTACGACTTATCAGTTCTAACCCGTTTTCTCATCTTCACTCGAATTTAGGCAGTTCTCTTGGAGGGGAATAAGTCATGTTTGAGGCGCCTGCGGTGGTTGCCGAACAGGTAGTTCCTGATAATGTAAGTTTTTACAATTATTGGTCTTATTGAGCTCTTTCTTGCTGGGTATTTGGAAGAAAGAATGTGAAGAAAATGGGAGAAGTGGATAAAGAAGCACGTTAATATTGTTTTGTATCCGCAGCTTCTTTTCACATCCGCTGTTTTTACTCTGAAATAAACAGCTTTGTCTTTGAAGAAGTTAAGTCATTTGTAATTTAATTTGTCTTGTAAAACAATTTTTGTATTGAGTATTTCGCATAACAGGGATAATTTTTTGATGGTTTTTTTTCGCTTTTGCATAGTGTTTATTAAACAGTTAAGATGTTTGTACTTGGATTTATAGGCTAACAATGCGTTGCGTATACCTGAGGGAGGGTTTGCTTTACTAAGCCATATTATGCAAAATACACTTACTAATGGAGTGACGAGTTTAGCATTTGATCCTTTCGAAGAACTTCTTTGGTCTGGAAATAGTTCGGTTGGTTAGCTACATATCTGTGAATTTTTAAAAATGTTTAAATTGTGTAAAAAGCGGTGTAATTATATTTCTTAATTGTTCAAAATGTCAGATTTTAGCCGCTTTTTGTGCTATAATTGGTTATTAACTAGCTCTTCGGTTATTTGGCAACTTAATTTTTTTCTTGTCTTCTAATTTTCATACAGGCACGATAAGTTAATTTCAATGGGTTTTTTTTTTTTTTTTTTTTTGGAGTGCTTTATAAATTTTCGGTTTTTAGGGTCGAGTCGTGTCTTACTATAGCCCGCAATTGGAAAGGTATACCTCATTCGTATCTACCTCTTCTGTGGTTCGAGATATTTTATCAACTGAAGCTATAGTTCTTTCGTTAACGCAGGAAAGATTGAGGGGGTTTCGAAGACAGGGTTTACCTTTATTCACTCATAAGTATGTCAGACACAACAGTCTTTTTGATTCTCATTTTCTACATTATAATCTCTGCTATATTTCCTGCTATACCAAGGTTATGAGAACTTTTTATATATGATTCAATAGATGCTGTCTAGAATTTAAACTTTAGATCGGAAAATATGGTCGACATGACCTGCATACATCGTCTGTCAAATGCACCGCATACAGTTCTGTTGGGAGGAAATCAACAAAAAATTATACAACTTGATTTGGAAATGCAAAAAGAAACTCGAATTGTAAGATTTGCTCAAATTTCTTAGTTGGACCGTTCCGTATTAATTTAAACATTACTTAACATTGATGTTCTGATTTTCCTAATTGATGGTATATAAAATAGTTTTTACTTGCAAAGCGAAAAAGGTTATTCTATTGAACAAACATTCTCTTACGCTTGCACAGTTATACTTCTCTAAATTTTTAAAAAGACAAGGTTTTCTCAATACAGTTATATTTGGGAACTTATAACTCTGATCACCGTTCGTTGCATCGTAACAGAATTTGAATTCTTTTTGATAAGTTTTGGTATTTATCTCGAAACAATTGATATTTGTGATTTTTTACAAAAAGACCTCATCATTTGGGCACATCTGATACTTTGGAGAATTTTATGGAGGAAAATCATCCTTGACTTTTTTCCACTAAACGATTTTCTTTGCAAAACTTTTCCACAGTAGCTTTGAAATTTTAAGTTTCTAAGAAATAGGAGATGTCAAGATGGAAATTGGTGCTGTTAAAGTCACTCTGTTATTGTTATATCTTATCGGTTTGCGTTTGTTTCGTCGGTAGGCGGTTCCGGTTAAAAGCATATCGAGTATGCACCAAAATGGCCAGAGTGCATTAAAGGTTTAGTGTTTTTACTGTAGGTGCTAGAAATTAAATGTTTTGAAGAGAGGAGGAGATAACTTATTGAACAAATTCAAAAGTTTTAGAATTTAGTGAATCGTAACAAAGTTAATGTTCCTCAGAGACAGCCGTATTGAGCAAAACTGTTTCTTCTACATTTGTGGAACTGTTAAGGTTTATTTTTTGGACTTTATTTATTTTTTATGCCTCTATTTATCGTTTGATGAAAAAAGATTTATGGTGGACTAAAATTCACGCGACTTGACAGGGGATGGCTCAGTCATAATACTATGTTATTTGTAAGGTGACTGGTTTCAAAAAATGGTTGTTCTGCTGTGCCTACCAACCAAATTCAGGTTTTTGTTTTCAAATTCTCTTTGCTCTCTCCAGGTTCATCTGAAACAAAAGGACTGTCTTGAATTTAGATCGAATCAGAAATTTCTCTTCAGTTCCGATTCGGATGGCAATGTAAGTTCAGCCTCCAATTTTGAAAATTTAGTGGATGGTTTAATAACTTTCAGTTCTTGTTGTATTTTGT